TTACCCTGGGCAACATGGTGAGACCTCATCTTTACAACAAATCAAAAAAATTAACTGGGCTACTTGGAAGGCTGAGGTGGAAGGGATTGCCTAAGCCCAGCAGGTCGAGGATGCAATGACCATAAGCATGCGATTGCACTCCAGTCTAGGTGACAGAGTGAGACTCTGACTCAAAAAAAAAAAAAAAGAAAAAGAAGAAGAAATTGTCTTCAGAGCTGATTTAGCAATGGCAAAGTAAATCAACTTCATTATAATTCATAAGAAACTCTTGTTTAAGCCACAGTCTTACTCTTTTTGCTCCTTCTCTCATTGCCTTCTTTAGTTAAATTTTATCTAGTCTTTCTTAGTGTTTTTTTTTTAATTTTTAAAAATTATTTTATAGCCGGGCTCGGTGGCTCAGCCTGTAATCCTGCGCCTTTGGGAGGCTGAGGTGAGTGGATTGCCTGAGCCCGCAGGTTCGAGACCCGCCTGGGCAACGAGACCTCAACTCTACAACAAATCAAAAAATCAGCCGGGTGTGGTAGCGCATGCCTGTAATTCCGGCTACTCGGAAGGCTGAGGCGGAAGGATCGCCGGAGCCCAGCAGGTCGAGGCTGCGGTGGCCGGGAGCGGCCGCTGCACTCCAGTCTGGGTGACAGAGTGAGACTCCAACTCAAAAAAAAAAAATTATTTTATAGATGTGGAATACAATTCAGGCTTAGGTACATATGTGGTCATCGTACAGGTAAAGTTTGGGCCTCCTTTTGATCCCCATTTTGCCTGGTTTGAGATGGGGTACCTTTATTGATGTTTTCTTAGCGTTCTTTATTTTTACTGCTAATGCATTTGACTAAGACTTCAAGGACCTATTGTTGAAATCCTGAGGAAAAGGGTGGGGGAAAGAGTTCTGAGGCATAATAAAGCCTGGGGCTTTGGGAGGGGGACAAGGAAGGGGTTGGACAGTTTGAATGTGAGGCCCAAAGGAAAGGTGACCATATAATTTATCACCCCATTCTGGGATACTTTTGAGTGTGAAAGGGGCATGATTAGTAATCATGCCAGGTCAACCAGGATGTATGGTCACCTTATGGATCTAGGGAACAAGTCAGGGAATGCACTCTGATTAATATCTGTTCACTTGGGCTGCCTTTAAAGCAAGAAATGCACCAGTGTAACTGGCCAAGGACCATAAATGTGAATTGCCGGAAAGAGAGGATGGCATCTATTTGAGGATGGAGCCATCATTACATTTGATCATTGGGACAGATCCATCTTTAATTTAAGGAAATGTCATTCAGTGAAAACCGTTAGATTTAATTTCTTGGAAGTATGTCTAATAGATTATTAAGATTTTATGACTGTTTACACACTTTTGGATACTCCTTAGAAATACAAATATTTTCTAGGTATTATAACATACTCATCTACCTACATATTTTCTGTTTTCCTCTAAGACTCCACCATAACGCTGGAATTCTCACATTTCCTTTTCCTCTCAAAAGACTGACAAAAGATTAAACAACCAACAAAATCCCCCTAATTGCATGATCATTCAGTCTTAGTTGTTCTCCTATTCACTGCCTTATAGTCTTTCCCTTTGTCTTGTGTCTTCCATCTGTGCAAAGCTGCAAACTCATTGAGTTTGTTGGCTTTTCCACTTAAGTTATTTATTGTGCCAAATCTCATTCATTCCCGTGGAAATCAGCCTGTAACACAAGTGTCCACAACTTATATGTTAAGTAAATGTTGCTTTGTTTTTTAAGCCACTGTTCATTGTAACACACATCTTACCAAACTCAAAACGTAAAAAATCTACAAATTCCCTCTTTGGATATTTTCAAAGTTAACTCTACTACCTATAACATGTACTTCTAAAAGAATGCCAAGACAGCTGAATTCATTCATTCTGCAAAATTTATTGACTTCTTCTTAGTAGGGGCAGTGTGAGAAATCATACATTTCCTGACCTCAAGGCTCCCACAGTCTTATAGTAATGCCAACAAACAAATCCAAAAAAAGTATTGAAGTGTACATTTAACATTTGTGTACTTCATACAAACTATACCTCAATGAAAGTGTAAATAAAACCAAATTTGCTATGTGCTATGGGTCAAGAAATTCATCTCTGGATTCTCATGACGCTTTTTTTTTTTTTTTTTACAGATTACTTGTTTTAGATACTTCTTTTTCCATGAATAGAATAAATCAATTACAAGTAATGACATTGGATCAGTCTTGCTTCTTTTGAGGATAGGTCTTTACTGCATTCTGCATCCAAATAATTCTAACTAATAGAATAGTGGATTTTAAGAGATAAAGAGTTGCTTAGAGACTTCTTCATAGGCTCTTAACTTTTCTTTTTGAAACTCTGAAACTTTTGAAAACAAAACTATAGACTCAGCAGAAATGAGCATATGCACAAGGATTTGGGGATTAACATACCACGAAACCCATGGGGGGATCCATTTAAGAACCCAAAGATCTCGAATTAAGATCCTCTGAGCTAACTCTGTCCTCTTCCTAGGGGTGAAAAGAATAGGCCCAGGGAGGGAAAATAGCCTGTTTAGGGGCTGAAGACAGAATCTAGGCCCTTTGATACTCAGACACTTATGCTTTTTTACCCCATTGTCTTTTTAGATACCATTAGATTCCCTTTGCCCCCAAACCTCCATCTGTGGAGCCCTTGAATTTAGAAGAACTTCCATAATACCTTATATCCTACTTTTTGTAATTGGAGTCACATCAGAAGCTGGTCCAAATTTACCTTTTACTTATTGGAGAACAGCAGGTAAAAAAGCTGACTTCCTTATATTAAATGGGGTCATTTATCTCTTTTTTTCCCACAGACTATCTCAAAACCCAGAACTGAAGTTAAAATTAAAATGATCCAGTGATAAAGTCTTTTCTTTTCAGTTTATTTAAACAAAATCAGCTCTAAATTATTACCTACATTTACACTCTGACATTTAAAACTTTCTTCTTCATTGATCTTTATAACATTGGAAAGATTGAACTTACTCTTTCCTCTGTAAGTCTTTCAGTGTTCTCTGACCAAACACAATATAATTCCAACCTGACCCAAGAAATTTGTGCAACTTGTGCCCACTCAGTTTTTCAGTTTGGAACAAGATTCTTGCTCCTGATCCAAATAGAAACTGTGAGAAGTGAAAGAGGACCCGGAAAGCCTTTTCTTCTGTGTGAAAGGCTTGAACCTAAGTAGAGCAATCAGTAAAGAAAAGGGTTCAAGCTGCAGCCTACAAATTTCTTAGGGTTTCATGTGCTCAGGATGAGGTGGAGAAATTACATAGCCCTGGGAATAGGCATGGAATAGAAGCCACATGTATATTCATTCTACCCCTAAAGGCTTTGCAAGGTACTTACTAAGTTTTTTCTTCTGTGCAATCATCTTTTGCTTTTCTACCTGCATAGGTGACAAGTTTTTTATCTTTTTCTTTTCCTTTTTTTTTTTTAGCTAGAGTCTCACTCTGTCGCCCAAGCTGGAGGGCAGTGGCACACCCACGGCCACCCCAGCGTCGATCTGCTGGGTTCCTGCCATCCTTCCGCCTCGGCCTTCCAAGTAGCTGGAACTATAGGCGCACGCTACCACACCCGGCTAATTTTTTGATTTATTGTAGACAGGAGGACTCGCCCAGTTGCCTGGGCTGGTCTCGAACCCGCCAGCTCGACAGCTTGCATTTATTGAACCTTTTACCATGTGTGCCAGCTACTGTTCTAAAAGCATCACATTATTTAATGCCATCTTTACAAGTCTTTAAGGTAGTCTTATTACTACGCCCGTTTTATAAATGAGCAAACAAATTTTCAGGGGTCAAGAAACTTGACCAAGTTCACATAACGAACTTGAGCATCAGATACAAGCATCTTGCTGCACTTCCTGGGTTTGTACGTCCTACTCTGGTAAAATAAACAAGTAGAGATGTATTGAAGACTGGGAAACGAATACTGTTGATCGTTCCTCAGACGAAAATATTTTAGATAATGTATTGTTTTCACGGAAATCGCCAGGCTTTCTCACTTAATGGACAGCATGAGGGACACATGGAGTGGACAGGGAGTTTGTGGCAGGAACGAGGATGACGGGAAGACACAGAACGGGGTGGGATGGGAACGTGGGGCGGGGAAGAGAAGGCGCGGGTGGAATCTCCGGTGTCCACTGCACACGCCTACCTTTCCGGAGCTGGTGGGCTGGCGGCTGGCCGCCACAACGCGGAGGCCCGCCCCCAGCGCCGTTCGGCCCAATCAGCGGCGCGAACCGACGTCCCGCCCCTTCACCGCGGCCACATAAACCCCGGCTCAGCGCTGTGGTTGTCGTCCGGGTTTCCGTTGGTGACGGTCAGTCCGGCAGCCGGCGCTGCGGTCTCCCC